TATATATATATATATATATATATATATATATATATATATATATATATATACATATATAGTAAAAAAGCACAATAATAAAGTGGACATACGTGGTGTTTAAAAGGGAATAATATAATGTGAGCAGAGGACAACTGTCCACATTACCTGGGGGCGGGACTTTGAGCTTCTGATCCTGACGGGGAGGGGTGGGGGGGTTGGGCTCTCTTTGGGTGACTCTCGCAGTGATTTTCAGGTTCACGTGATGGCAGAGCTCCGCAAGTGGAAGCTGGTCTTCATGGAGCAGCACCGGCTGGAGCTGAAGAGGGAGCGGCAGAGGCACGCAGCCCAGGTGGCTCGCCTCTCTGCCCAGACGGACAGTCTGAAGGAGCTGCTGCGCACCTACGAGACCTCCAACCAGAGGAAGGACGAGGTGCCTGCGCCCCCCCCCCCACCCACCAGGGTCTCCTGAATGATCTCAGGCTTTGGTGTCGTTATCCTGCGTTTCCCCAGCCTTAAGGCTACCATCAGTTTGCTCTTCCTTCAGCCTCTGTGGCTGGTTAGTACTGTCTTCGAGACGGACAAGGGGGTGGATTTATGGCCTGAAAGGTTCCCCTCCATGCCGGCAGGTGATCAGTAACCTGAGCCACTCGCTGGAGAGGCAGAGGGAGCGGCTGGAGCTGATGAGGACCTTCACCCACTGGAGGCTGCAGCACCTTGAAGCCAAGGAGGAGGTGAGGGCCCCTCCCAAGGGGGCTCCACCCAGCTTTCCTTTAAACACCCAGCTGTTGATGTGCTGCTTGTGACCGCCCCCCCCCTAGCCCGGCACTTCATGCAGCCTCCTCTGCAGGGCCTTACTCCATTAAATCCTAATGACAGTAATCTAACAACATTATGGTTTATGCAAATGGCGTATTGAGCCTGAGCGTGACTTATGACAGCCCTCTATATGTGCTTATTAAACACTCAACCTACTGTTTCCTTTTATGTCATTATATATTTTTTTCTTTTTTGAGGATATGATGTATACCTTACAGCCACAAAATCCACTCAGAGACACAGGTCAATTTAAGGCTTTTAGATAAAAACTTTGAGATAAAATGCTTTTTTTTTTTTTTGTCATACCTCTGTCATGTTCTAGAGTAGTGTTTCTCAATCCAGTCCTCAAGGATGGTCCACATTTTTGCTCTGTCCCAGGTCCCAGCACACCTGCACCTGATTTCTGTGGTCTTGATTGGCTGGGAGCTGGGAGGGAGCAAAAATGTGGGCTGTCTGGGGGTCCCTGTGGACTGGGTTGACAAACATTGTTGTAGAGCATCAAAATTGTAGGTGTTTTGGAGGCCATTGCATGATGTATTCAGTGTTTTGTGTGGGGGTGCGTGGGTGGGTGGGTGAAATGTATACGTAGCGAATGTCCCCACAATGCAATAATAACCTGTTATTTTAACGTAAGAACCACTTTTTCCGGTCCCCAAAAGGGAAAACTCAATTTTATAAGAATCTGTGAGAGCAATCGAAAAACTACAAAAGCCAACAGGCTTGTATTGCGTTTGGTTACTTATAAACTCGCAAATGCGTGTGTATGTGTGTGTGTATGTGCCTGTGTGTATGAGCGTTCGTCTGTGTACATGCGTGTGTGTGCGTGTGTCTGCATGCGTGTGTGTGAGTGTGCCCGTCCCCCCCGTCCCTCCCTCACCTCCGGCTCTCCTGTCCGCCGCTCCAGGCTCACGCGGCCAAGGTGGCGGAGCAGCACTACCTGCTGCAGTTGAAGAGGAAGGTATGGGCGGCCTGGCGCTCGCCCATCCAAGCCCGGTGGAAGCAGCATGTGGAGAGGGCATGCCAGGCCCGCGCCGAGGCCGTGTGCGCCCAGCTGTCTGCCAACCACGAGGCACAGCTGGCCCAGGTGAGGGGCCTCTGGGGGTTAAAGGTCCCGGGAGTATACCCAGGCTTTAATGAGGATAGTGGCTCCAGTGGGACTGGGGGGGGGGGGGGTGTATACAGAGCTGGATGGGGCTAAGTTTGAATTTATTTAAATTTTAGTGATCACTGCACCACCTTAAGAGGGTCTAACAGCTGAGATGTGTCTGTTTTATGGGGACGGAGAAGGGATGGCATCCTCACCTTCACAAGGAGCCGCTCCAACACAGCATTTGTGTGACCAGGGGTCACATGGGTCGGAAAATGAGTTCACCCTGGGGGGCCTTGTGCCGAGGGGCCCTTCCAGTCACACCCAGTACCTGAGTGGAGCCTCATGCTGTGTCCGTCAGTGCACCGAGGAACTGGAGGAGGCCCGGGGAGAGATCCGGAGGCTGCACGCGGAGAGGGAGCGCTTCGAGGAGTCCATGAAGAAGGCTTTCATGCGAGGGGTGTGTGCTCTCAATATGGAGGCCATGAGCGTGTTCCAGGGGGCTGAGGCCAGGCCAGACCACGGTCAGTGCCCCGAGAAACTGACACATATTTAAAGCGCTTTCAAACCACACAAGTTAAACCACACTTAATGCTAAATAAGCAGGGGAGACATAAGGTTAAACTTCACACATAATCTCATAGGAAACTACACCGCAGTAAGCTTTGCTGGTTATTTGTTAGTTACTGGGAGGATTCATTGTGACCGAACCAGGACACAGCCTTTTATTTATATTTTACTTATATGACCCGCAACATATTCATGATTCTAATTAAATTTGGTCAGAAGATCTTTAGTTTTCCACAGAATAAAAAAAGATGTAACGGTATCCCTCTAATTCGCATTGGCAAGTTTCGCCGCCAACCCTAGCAATATTAGATAAAAGTATATTAGTTATCATTCGAATATACCGGTGCAGGAATATAGAAACGCAAGCAAAAAAGGGATTTATTGATGCATTGACTGTAATTGGGTTAGAAAAATAGTTCCATCTGCTCAATATTTACTCTGCAACATCTCTTTTTCTGCACTGCCCTGTACCTTCCAAGTTACTGCCAGTGCTTGTGGTCAACTAATATGCAGGGTGTCACTGTAAGCATGTCCCCAGTAGTTTGAGTTTGAACGAAAAGTACCTTGTCTCGAGTAGGGACTAAAAAAGGGTTCCGGAATCACCTCTAAGGAACTACAGCCGGTTCCTGCAGTGTGAACGTGACAAAAGTTCCCGGTTCTGGAAAAAGGTTTTTGTTCCTAAAAAAAAGTTCCTGAGATGTGAAAGCGGCCAGACACAGACACACATGCTGGGCAGCTTGGGTCTACCGGAGCTGCTGTAATGTTGGATCGTCACAGTCTGCCGTCTTCACAGTCTTCACACCTGGATTGCTCCTCCAGCTCGACGGTCTTCCGGGAGCTGTGTGTTTCTTGGAGCCAGTGGCTCATCAGGCCTGGAGGTGGAGCCTTGTCCATTTCCCCAGGGTCACACTGAAGGAGGTGGCAGGGCGCAGAGGAAATGTGTCACATTGGGCAGTGCCATAAAGTGAAACCCTCTTAGTAGGGAAACTCGATTTTATAAAGATCTGTGACTGCAATCAAAAAAACTAAAATAGCCACAAGTATTTTGTTTGGTTACTTAAGGTTAGGGCTGGGTAGCGGTTAAGGTTGTCATAGTTTTTATGTTATGCCCATAGAAATTAATGGAAAGCTTCCACAAAGAGAAACACTATATGGAAAAAAGTATTGCGACACCTGGGGTGAGTTTCCTGCAACCTTTATGCTACATCATTCGTAAGTTATATCTTTTAACGTAGAACTTACGAAAGACGTAGCATTACGAAGGCTTCGGGAAACTCACCCCTGGCCATTACACCTACAGAAGCTTACGACATCCCATTCTATATCCATAGGCATGAATATGGAGCTTGTCCCCCCTTTGCAGCTATATCGCTTTTCTGGGGAGGCTTTCCACAAGAATTTGAAGCGTTTCTATGGGAATTTTTGTCCATTCATCCAGAAGAGCATTTGTGAGGTCAGGTCTGGCTCGCAATCTCAGGTCCAGTTCATCCCAAAGGTGTTTATTGGGGTTGAGGTTAGGGTTCTTTGCAGGCCAGTCAAGATCTTCCACACCAAACGCAACCAACTTATGGATCTTGTTTCTCAGGGGTTGGGCTAGGAAAGCAATTCAGTTTTATTTGTATAACACATTTTCACGTTGTTTCACTGTCTCAAAGCGCTTTACATTATCCCCGCCCAAAGCTCCCAGTGAGCAAGCCCAAGGTGACCGTGGCAAGGAAAAACTAGAAGGAAGAAACCTTGGGAGGAACCAGACTCAAAGGAGGAGCCCATCCTCCTGGGACCGGCAGAGAAAATCAAATGGGCAAGATGGCAAAGTTCCAGTTCACACTGTCCCAATTTTAACATTTGAGTCTCAAAGCAGGGGGCAAGCAGATACTGGTGCTGCTTCTGATGGTAGGATGAACAGTGGTACAGCAGCAGGGCATGCAGGAGAGACGTCTCAGGCAGAAGGGCGAGCAGGCTGGAAGGGAGGCTATACTGTAATTCAAACATTTAATTAGAGGATTCTGAGGGATAATAGATACATGTTCCTCCAGGACACCATGGCTAAGAACCAAATCCAGGGTGTGGTTGCAGGCATGAGTAGGCCTGACTAAATTCTCACATACACCTACAGAGTCAAGAATAGCAGACTCCTTAAGAAAATTACTGTACGGACCAGGAAGTCTATACACAATAACAATGATGATTGGAGGTGAAGGACTACAAGGAGATGAGCCAGCAAAACTAAGAACAAGAATTTCAAATGTGCTAAAGCTATAACCACTTTTTTCAGACTCTCCTAGGTTAGACTGAAACATTGCATCAGCACCACCTTTGCCATCTGGTCGAGGGTTATGCTTATAACTGTAATCAGCTGGAGTAGATTCATTTAGTGCCATGAATTCATTTAGTCTAAGTCATCTTTGACTAAGGCATAAGGCACCAAGACTAAAATCATGTCATTTATTAGTAATGCCTGACCCCACACCATTATCCCTCCTCCACCAAACTATACATTTGGCACAATGCAGTCAGGCAGGTAACATTCTCCTGGCATCTGCCAAACCCAGACTTGTCCATCGGATTGCCAGACAGAGAAGCGTTATTCGTCACTCCACAGAACATGTTTCCACTCCTCCAGAGCCCAGTGGCGGTGAGCTTTACACCACTCCATCCGACACTTGGCATTGAGCTTGGTGATGTGAGGCTTGTATGCAGCTGCTCGGCCATGGAAACCTGTTCCATGAAGCTCCCGGCGCACGGTTTTTGTGCTGGAGTTAATGCCAGAGGAAGTTTGGAACTCTGCAGTTACTGAATCAACAGAGCGTTGGCAATATTTACGCATTATATGCCTCAGCACTCGGTGACCTGCTCTCTTACTTTACGTGGCTGAGTTTCTGTTGTTCCTAAACGCTTCCACTTTGCAATAATGCCACTTACAGATCACCATGGAATATCTAGCAGGGAAGAAATTTCACAAGCTCACTTATTACAATGGTGGCATCCTATGACAGCACCACGCTTGAATTCACTGAGCTCTTCAGAACGAATCATTCTTTCACAAATGTGTGTAAACCTGACTGCATGGCTCTGTGCTTAATGTCATACACCCATGGCAATGGGTCTGAATGAAACAACCTGAATTCAGTGATTAAGAGGTGTGTCCCAATACTTTTGTCCATATGGTGTAGATATCCAGTGTGTGCATGTGTGAGAGGTCCAGTGGTGGATGTGTGTGTGTGTGTGTGTGTGTGTGGGGGGGGGGGTGTCCTAAGGGATGGGCAGTGACAGTTGTGTGTGTGTGTGTGATTTTATGTATAGTGCTGAAGTGGTAGGAATACTTGCCATTTTGCCGAGTATGAATAAGCAGGGAGTCTGCAGGCTTCTGTAACGTGGGCCTGCTGTTCTCCGAACTGTGTCCTCGTCCTGAACCTGCCGGTAAACCCCCCCATAAATCAGCGAGCCCTCCGTGATGCAGGCTGGACGGGAAGCTGCCTCCTGCTCTTACGAGCAGCGGCGGGGCGCCTGGGAGGGAGGCTGTGGGGGCTGCTGGGTTTTAACGAAGGTCAGGATGTTCCCGTGCGGCAGACGAAGGGGAAGTGCCGTTTTTGTTAAATAGGGCCAGACAGAATGGCTGCAAGTAGAGCAGGAGGAGCCGTTATGGTGGGCGTGCACTGTCACCACGGCGACTGTCGCTGGGCAGTGGGCTCCGTTGCTCGTTACAGGTTTATTCCAAATCCAGATAATGCTGCAGGAAACTGGTCACAAACACTGCCTGATTCTGACAGCTGTATCCGTGAATGAATGATTTTGACATTTTAAAAATTTGTGAAGCATGCTAGATATATATTTGCAGTCACGTAGTTGTGGGCTTTGCAGAAAGTTCCAGATCAGAAATGCATCTTATGTCCTCACGTTGTTCCTTTGATGGCTAACAGCTAGTGGTGATGATTTTTTTCATGTGGAGGAGACGCCCCATTCAGTCTGTGGCAGCTGTGATTAGATTTGCTCTCTGCCGCCCCCTCCTGGGCAGCTCTTCAATGATCAGCCCTGTCGCACTCACAGACCTCCAGCCCGCGCCGGACGCCCCCCGCTCCAGCTCCTCGGTCTGCTTCCAGCCACAGCCCAACCCCCCTGCCCGCTCCAGCCCGGTGCACTTTGAGTCAGCCACGCCCCCCAGCCTGGCCCATGATGACGCAGATCCTGCGGTGAGACATCGCTGTGGAGAAGCTTGTCTTTTGCCTGCCGCATCACTTACAACTCTCCCACTGATCTGCTCTTTTCTGGCTCAGTCACTAATGCCTGTAGATACTGGTAACAGCATTGGTTCTGGTCCCTAGTAACGTCTCTCCTGTACAGTCCCAGTTCATGTCTCAGTCTGGATCTGGAGCTGGCCCATTCAGATCAGTGGAAGGCTTCCCCTCCACCACTTCAGTCAGTACTGTTCTTCCGCCAGGAGGCGCTGCAGCGACCCACAAACAGGTTGTACTCCTTCAGTCCAGCACTCCCCTGAACAGAAATTCTGGTACAGCAGTGTTTCCAATCCCCAGGGACCCCCAGGAAGTCCACATTTTTGCTGTCCTCCAGCTCCCTGGGGGGGGGGGGTCCCTGAATACTGCGTTTGGTGGCCACAGCACACATCTGAACACGAGGAGGGGGGGGGTGCATTGGAGGGTCATAAAGTCATGTCCTATTGGCTGTTTGCGCTTAAAAGCTCTGCTATAAACTTTTTTTTGTAAAATAAAAACACACAGGTATGATGCAGGTTTTTATTAATATAGTTTTATCAGTGTACATTACATTATTTCTAGGTCATTTTTTTGTGACAGTTCATCACTACATTCTTAACGGTTGTCCAAAAGATCAATGCACTAACAACGCAAGGTCATAGGTTCAAATCCCAGGGAGCCCTTCCCTCTACTGTAAGTCGCTTTGGACAAAAGCCTCAGTTAGCAAATTACTATAGAAGTTCCCTGTGCCAGGGTGCCCTCCTTAGTTCCACGGTTCGTGAAATAGAGCAGTACAGATGCTCCTCTACTTACGCACTTTCAACTGAGGAACTTTCAGCGTAGCGTGCATGCATACTCACAGCATCCTAGTTCTTTGTACTTGCGTATACCCTTAAAATGATGTTGAATAACGACTTAAGAACATTTCAAGTTACGAACGGCCGTTTGGAACGTACCTCATTCGTAAGTAGAGGAGCGTCTGTATTTCTCAAGCTGGTCCTCGGGCCTGTTTGGGGATCCCCCAGGTTGGGATGCACTGAAGTAGAGGACAGGAAGAATAGTGATTCTCATAAAATGAAACAGGTTTTTGTCTCCATTTGAAGCATGGCTGATCTGAGAACAGTGTATGAGCGTAACAGCCGGGTTTAAGGTGGAGCAGATTTATCAGTGAGCTGACGGCTGTATTCTGAAGGCCTCCCTGCTCTCCCGTAGCCCGGCACGCGTGTCGTGACCTCGGCCCAGCAGAAGGCTGCCAAGACCATCACGGCTCGCATCACAGGCCGCCCCGACCTCAGAGGCAGGGCAAGCCGTGTGGCCGGGAGCCTGCAGGTGATGGGGGTCGACCCGCCCATGAGCTCGGTCATCGTGGAGCGACACCATCCCGTCACGCAGGTCAGCCCACCCACATCACCCTCATTAGATATTATTTGTGAAGGAAGAACAATTATAGCTTCAGCAGGGAAGCAGCGTGTCGTTCACTGTATTTAATAATCTTCCAATTAAGTTAATTTAATTAGAGACTGAACAGTGTCATAGCTTCTCATTAGTTTTGCATTTAATAATGAAACGTGGCGGGATGCCGTGGACATAGCGGTATATTTACCGTCACACCGTACTGTGATCTGCGTTGCCATGACACTCTTGTATTGTTTTTTCCTCCCCTGTGTCACCTCATCAGCTTACTGTCAGCCAGGCGACAGCAGCGAAGTTCCCCCGATCCTCTCAGGGCTCCGCAGGTGGCAGAGGCCCCGCCCATCACGGCAGGGCCCCCACCTCTCAGATACACTCCATCAAGCTGGTGGAATGAAGCTCAGCCCCCCCCCACACACACACACGCACAAGCGAAAGGGCATTCATCAGGCTCGTTAATCTGACACGGCTGAGGACTGGAGTGAAGGACTTGAAGAGCCTCACTTAGGCCAGTGTTTCCCAACCCGGTCCTTGGCAACCCCTAGCCAGTCCACGTTTTTGCTCCTTCCCAGCTAGGAGCGAAAATGTGGACTGTCTGGGGGTCCCTGAGGGCTGGGATGGGAAATGCTGATTTAGGCTACCTCTGTATGCATTGATTGATTGATATATAAATGATATACATACACACACATACGTGTGCGTGTGTGTGTATGATATACATTTTCATATGCTAAAAGGTCGATTTTGAAATGGGTAGTTAAAAAGATTACGGTTGAGAATTACAATTGTGCGCAATTAAGTTTTTTGTTGGAAATAATAACATCATACTAAACTCATTTTCCTCAAACCTCAGGGACCACTTTCCTGTTTTATGCATTTGTTTACATTTTTTTTTTTTAAATGTTTTCAATTAACTTTGTCTGATTTTTAATAAATTTTATTAATGAAGTGTATCACTGTTGTATAAGTGTAGTATACCTTTTGTATATTCGTCTGCCAACCTTGAATCCTCTTACCTGATCACAGTAATGGAGTCTCCCAGCCAGCACATCCCTTCAGCAATCCGAAGGCTTCCTGTGTGCCTGGGATTTGGAGGAGATTCACAGGAAACGGTGCGGATCCTTTGAAACATGCAGGCAGCAGGTTCCTGCTCCGGCCTGAAATTAGTTAACTGTGTCACTGGCTGCCGGTTACAGGGCCGAGGGGCCTGTATAACAGCTCCCTGCCTGTGGTGAGGGGAGCAGCTTGGGCTCATTTTCCCAGCGTAAATGCTGGCTCATTCTGTTCCCGTGGACTGTGAAGACAGTGATAAATCCAGGGTTAAGGGCAGCCTCTTTGTATTTCACTGTGGCGAGAGCAGGAAACAGACGTGTCATAAAAAGTCAGCGATAGCATCTTCCAATCCCCCCCCACACTGAATGTCACATTGGTTCAGCCGCAGTGGGTCATTTAATTAATTTTACCTCCGTCCTTTGGAGAGGCTGCCCAGCTTTAAATGCTTTTCTGTGCTCCAGCCTTGAAGGCTTCAGTAATGGGGTTTTAAAAAAATGAAAATGAGCATCCATTCATCCTGCATAAGTGCCGGTTTCAGGAAGCAGAGGGCACCAGGCGGGAGGCACCTTGGATGCAAACTCGTTTAGTCACAGGGCGCACACACTTGCAATGGGCAATTTAGGTACACAATTCACCGAACTGCGTGTTTTTGAACTGCACACAGCCAGAGTCGGTGGGGTTCATTGAACCCAGAGCCCTGGGGATACTGTTAAATGTCCTCAGTACATTGGCACTCTATCTAAACACTTCTTATAGAAAAGCTGGAGCTATGTGATCTTGAGATTGAAATTAGCATTAATGTAGCCATAAACTCTATGGGATTTATGAGTCCTTATACAAAATCCGTTTATCCATCTGGCCGTCTTCTAACTGCTTACAGGCAGTACCCCGGTTACGAGCAAGATCCGTTCTATCTTTAAGTTGAATTTGTAGGTAAGTTGGAAAAATAATAAAACACTACATAATAATGATACAGTAATGGTAATATAGCTTAATAATAGTATATCATTACTATATAATTAATAATAGCATATAACAACTACTATATACTGTAGTTACTATTACAGCACCCTCCACAATTATTGGCACCTCCTGCAAAGATTTGTAGTTTGGTGAAATAGTTTCATATCACACTGAAAAAATGACAAACATCCAACCTTTCATTAAAATAAATTTATTGAAAGAAAAACATCCCTCATCAAGAAATAATTATTTTCGACAAAAACACAGGTGCCACAATTATTGGCACACCTGGATTTAATACTTTGTACAACGTACCTTAACAGCATTGAGTCTTCTATAACATTTTACAAGGTTGGAGAATACAGAGCAGGGCATCTGAGACCATTCCTCTTTACAGAATCTCTCCAGATCATCCAGGGTTCTAGGCCCTCTCTTGTGCACTGTCCTCCTCAGCTCAGCCCACAGGTGTTCAATGGGGTTCAGGTCAGGAGACTGAGACGGCCATGGCAGAAGCTTGATTCTATGGTCAGCTAAACATTTTTGTGTAGAGTTGGACATGTGCTTAGGATCATGGTCCTGCTGGAAGATCCAGTTTTAATTTTTTGACAGACAGCAGTGTTTTGATTTAAAATGTCCTGGTATTTCATGGAGTCCATAACAAGGTTTCCAGGGCCTTTGGAGGAAAATCACAACCTCCACCATGTTTTACAGTTGGGATAAGGTTCTTTTCATTATAGCCATCCTTCTTTTTACACCAAACCCACCTTGAATGTTTATTGCCAAAAAGCTCCATTTTTGTTTCATCACACCGTTGAATTTGGTTCCATTTAAATTGTAGTAGTGTTTCACGAACTCCTGGCGCTTATGTTTGTGGTTAACTGACAGAAAAGGCTTCTTTCTGGCATAGCTTCCGAATAATCTGTTAGCATGAAGGTGGCGTCTGATGGTAACCCCAAGATTTTACTTGGCCTTGTAATTCACCAACCGTGATCCTTGGGGATTTTTTTGTCTCTCTTACGATCCTCCTCACTGTATGTGGGGGAAAATGAACTTGGGTCCTCTTCCAGGCAGGTTTGTAACAGTTCCAGTTGTTGTCCACTTTTTTATTATTGCCCTAGCAGTAGAGATGGGCATTTTCAGGCGAGTACCTATTTTTAAATATTCATTCCCAGATTTATGAAGGTCAACACACTTCTCCCTCATTTGGTCTGTGTGTTCTCCTATCTTTCCCATGTTGATGGATGACTAAGGGAATTTGGCCTCTGTGTCGCCTCATGTTCGTATCCCTGTTAACCAGGAAGTCATGGATTACAGCTTGAAGGTTCCTATTCACTCCACTCAACTCAAAGATGTACAATTTACAGGGGAAACATGCTTCAGTTACATTGTGTTCACTATAATTTCCAGGGGTGCCAATAATCATGGCACATGTGTTTTTGTTAAAAATAATAATTTTTTGATGAAGGATTTTTTTTTCTTTGAATAAATTTATTTCAATGAAAGGTTGGATTTTTCTAATTTTTTCAGTGTGAGATGAAGCTACTTCAGTAAAAGGTGCATTTTTTCTAACCCTTTTTACAAATCTTTACAAGGGATGCCAATAATTGTGGAGGGCGCTGTATATTACTATCAGTATATAATAATGATAACAATACAGTAATAAAAGTAGATATAGTTGTGAACTCCACCTCAAGCCAGTGAACTGCTGAAGCCACGCAATGTCTTCACGAGCTTCACAAGGTAGTGTGTACGTTCATTATTACGAACCACTGTATTTAATCTGAATTTTTAATATAATAGGCTTTATGGCAGTCTCTTGGTAAGTACAAGCTGTCTTTAAGTTGGATGTTCTTAACCCGGGGACAACCTGTATTCTGGTCTTGGGCTTACACTAAATTTCATCTTGAAATCCAATAATTGCAAGGCAGTGTTGAAACTGGAGATTGAATTCTGCGGCCTCATCAAGAAAACATTCATCGTGGATGGTTGCATACTGTGACCTGGGGGCTCCGAAGCTGACCAAAGCCCAGGGTCGCCGTGGTGACCTTACATTATTCAGATATAACAACAGTGTTCTGCTACAGAGCTGAGGTCTATGATCACTGTGATCTATCAGTGTGAAATTGAGAATAAATCAACATGATCCACAGCTGTTAGTCACAAACAGCACAGATTCTGACTCAGCTCCAGAAATTGTAATATTTTTGCCAATAAACAATTGTTAAAATGCACATTTATCAATAATTACAAAGCCTATATTTTTCATTACCTAACTACATAACATTGAACACATTGAACTGTTAAAGTGATTAGCACTTACAAACAGAAAAACATATATTAAATACCTTCAGGTCGACCAGCATACAGTATCTACACCTCAAGATACAAATACGGCACATTTTGAAAATAGCTACAATCAGAGTTTGTTATTAAATAATAATAAAACATTAGCTTCTGCCACCATCAAACACTCCATAGCGAAGCCTTTCCAGCTGGCCTTTTTATTTACACTTGAGGAATCAATTCATCTACAGATATGTGATTTTCAAGCCTCAGGAAAATAATTTGCTTCTTTGCTTCAGGACCCCAGATGTGTAAGAAGCTCATGAGAATAGAGAGATGGAAAGCTGAATTATTCGACCACCTCCAACCCTGTAGCATGTAGGGAGATGGAAAATCCAAATCCGTTTTGTAGACACTGGATTCCAGTGGCCTCTCGGTCTCTCCCTCAAAGGATTACAGCGGCAGCAGCTCAGACGAGTGGCGAATTTCCCCGATAAGGCAATACTCTAAGGGTAGTGACACTTCCTCCATTCGACTCTGAAACACTGATAATCTTATCCCCCTCTCAAAGGAGGATGAATTACACTCTCAAGAATTCCCTCAGGAAAATTGCAAATAATCTTCGCTCTAATGGTTGCCTACACCACTGCTCAAATAGTCGTAGTATTTCAGAAATATCCAGTATAGGTGGAAAGCCTGTGAATGATCTGAGATATAAGATTGCTAGCTTGGCTTAATACCTGCACTTGTGATGATGAGCCTAAATATGCATATAATTACCTTTGTATAATGTTCTAGTTCCTCTGCAGTCTGTCTCATTTACAGACTTTCTAGGCAAGGTAATGCAAGTTTATTTATATAGCACATCTTCAAACACAGGTTATTCAGAGTACATAAAGTAAGATGAAATAAAAACAATCATTAATGGAGAATTAAAAATCAAGTAAAAGACAATTAAAGTGACAATAATTAAAAATACAAATAGACATTGAAAAGTAAGAAAAATAGCAACAATATAAATTAATTGCGCTAATCAAAGGCACTATGGAATAAAAATGAAATAGGAACGTGTAAGTTACAAAGTCCATGGCTTTTGCAGTGGTAACACACTGAGCTGGTCCTGGGGGAGACCGCAAAGCACAGCATTGACCAGTGGCCTGCAATCTGCCGGAAAAAGGCACTTTGTGAAACGTGTTTTAGTTTTACGCCTCAGTGCTGGCCGATAGTCAGCGAGTAGATTTCAGTACATCAAAGAAACGCAATAAAAAGGCTTCATGTATATGATTTGGGTGATTTGAGATATTTTCTCATATCCTTCCTTGGAAGACCAGAAAGCCTTTATGGCACTTCTAAGGACATCCCTGCTGTGGAGAAGATAAGACATTGATCCGATAGGCCATTTCACAGGAACATACTCCACAGATGCCTTGAATTGTGATTTGTAACATGATGAAAGAAAACTCTGGATCTTAATGACTTCCAACCACAATAAAAATTATAATGAATAATACAAATAATTTGAATACTACTACTACTGCTAATAATAATAATAAAACAAATTCTCAACATCTCACCCTTGATTGCTCCTAAAAATGATAGCTCATTACTGCCATTCACAAGGATACAAATATGTAATATTTTGTCATATGTAATG